GGCTCTGCGGGTGGCTAGGGCGACCAGGGGTATAAGTTTATTTTCGTCTCTGGTGAACATTTCCAGTGGTTTGGATAGGAGTAGGGCCCACGGGACTAAGGGGCAAGGGTTGAACAGTAACCTGGTGAGGAGTGCTACAACAGATTGCCAGAGTGGTTGGAGCTTGGGGCATGTCCACCAGCAGTGGAGAAATGTTCCCACGCTTCCACACTGTTTCCAGCAGGGGTGAGGTACCATCTTGTACGCCTGTTCTTTGTGTGTCACGCATATTGTTAGGGACACTATGGCTTCCCAGATGTCAGTCCAGTCTCCCGTGTCCTCTGGTGTGCCTAGGTCTGTTTCCCATGCCGTAATGTAGGCAGGGAGATGTGGGTTGAGTAAGTTGCTATTGAGTGATAAATGTCTGATACCTGGCTTTTCCTGGCGGGGGCTATTTCGCAATTTCTTTCGAAGTTGGTAGGCGGTGATTTACCTGCCTGTTGGATGCATGGCTTTGCCGCGAAGCTGCGGAGTTGTATGTATCGAAAGTAGTCGAATGTTGTGAGTAACTCGGCCTCGGGGATGTTGGCATAGGGGATGAATTGGTCGTTTGCGTATAGATGGCCCAGTCTTGGCCCAGTCTTACTATTCGCCTCCTCTCAAATTGAGCAAAGTGTTGTGCTGTGAGACCTGGGGGAAAGAGTTTGTTCCGTAGTGTTGGGGTCATTGGGGAGAGGTAGAAAGAGAGGTCATATTTGAGGTGTATTTTGTCCCATAGGTCTAGGGAGTGGGGAGATGGTGGGCACTGTCGGTAGGGGGTAGCAGTGTGACTTGGGAGTCCACATGTATAAGGAGGGATGTGGTCATGCGTGGATATGTGGATTGGTAGTAGTTCCGATTTTGTGACGTTCAGTTTATATCCTGCTATGTGGGAATAGGTATTGATCAGGTTCAGTAGGTGGGTGGTGGAGGTGTCAGGGTTCGTCAGGGTTAGGAATGTCGTCCACATAGGCGGAGACTTTGTAGGGCTGGGTCCTGATGTTAATGCGTTCTAATTGACTCATATCGCCTCGAGTAAGGGTACCAGGGATAAGGCGAACAGGATTGGCGATAGTGGACATCCCTGCCTCGTGCCATTAGTGATGGTGTATGTGGGGGGGTAATGTTGGGGAGGAGGAGGGATCCCTGGGAGTGTGCACAGTTTGCTTCGAGGAATGAGATGAACTGTGAGGGGAACTCAAGGTGAGTTAGTGTTTGGTATAGGTAGGGCCAGAGCAGGCGGTCGAAGGCCTTTTCTGCATCAAGGGAAATTATAGTTGTGGGGATGTGTCTATGGCTGGCGTACCAGATGAGGTCTATGGCTCTGGTGTTATCCGCTGCCTGTCTGTTCGGCATGAATCCTACTTGGTCAAGGTGTCTTAGGGAGGTGAGTAATGGGTTGATTCTATTGGTCATGACTTTGGTGAGTATTTTAAGATCTATATTTAGCAGGGATATGGGTCTGAAGTGTCCTGGTTCATTTAGTTGTTTGCCTGGTTTTGGGAGGAGGCATACGTTGGCGGCGACCATGTCGGTCGGGAGTTTTTCTCCGCGTAACATTGCGTTGAATACCGGATACAGGTGTTTGAGTAAGTGGTGCCCGAAGGTTTTATAGTATATTGCCCTGAATCCATCGGGGCCTGGGCTTTTGTTTGGCTGGAATAAGTGAGGGCTAAGGCCATTTCTTCTACTGTTACTTCCTCGCATTCTGTGTGGGGAGGTTTAGTGAGTTCAGGAAGGATTTGTGAGAGTAGTTGTGTCTGGTGGAGGAGTCGGTGATGGTGGCGTGTGGTTATATAGCTGTTGGTAGAATGTCTGGAATATGCTGCATATTTGGTCTGGTCGGCCGCATGTGTTCCCTTCTGGGTTGTGAATGTGCGTGATTTTGTTGACTTCGATGCAGCATTTCAGGTGCCTTGCTAACATGGTGTTAGCCTTGTTGCTTTTTTCGTAGTATTTTTGCTTAAGCCATTGAAGGGCTTTTGAGGTGTCTTCTAGCATCAAGCGCTTCAGTAGCACTCTGGCTTCAGTCAGTTGGTCAAGGGTATCCCTGTCCTGGTTGGCTTTATGTATAGCTTCTAAGCGTTGTATTTCCGCCATAACATCTGTAATCTGCTGTATCCGGTGCTTTTTCCTGGCTGTGGCCATGCTTATCAACTTGCCCTGGATGACCGCTTTGTGCGCTGTCCAGAGGGTTATAGGTGATATCTCCTCGGGGTTTGAGTTTAATTCAAAGTAGTCAGTGATGCCTTTGGAGATAGTGTCTGTTAGGAGGCGGTTTCCAAGTCCAGGGTCGTGTGATATTTGGGATGCTCAGAGTTAGGTTTATAATGGCGTGATCCGAACATGAGATCGTGCCTATGCTGGTGGTTTTTGCTTGGGAGAGGACGTTGGGGGTCACTAGGAAGTGGTCTATTTGTGAGTATGAGTTGTGGGGATGGGAGAAGAAGGTGAAGTCCTTGGTGGATGGGTGTTGGGCTCGCCATATGTCTATTAGATTTTGAGAGGAGAGGAACTGCTGGAACAAGATGTCATTTCTGGCTGGTCGAACTGGGTCCCGTGTATTATGTGATCTGTCTAGGTGTGAGGAGCAGGCTGCATTGCAGTCCCCTCCTATGATCAGGTGGGTGTTAGTCAGCATCGCTATGTGTGCTGAGAACTTTTGCCAGAAGTCTGGATCAGGGTTGGTGGGTGTGTAGATGGAGCAGAAGGAATAGCTACTGGTTCCTATTTTCCTGGAGATTGTGAGGAATCGTGCTGAGGGATCTGCGGTCGGGATTATGTCCGTCAGTGGGCAGGTGGTCTTTAGGATTATGGCTATGCCTTTCGTCTTGGAATCCGGGGAGTTGGCAAAGTAGCTAGATTTATAGTAGCGGTTAGTGAGAGGGAATTGTTTGTGTATGGAGAAATGTTTTTCTTGTACCATGAGAATGTCCGCGTGTTGCCTGCGGGCCCACCGAGTAGGGCGTGTCTTTTCTTGGGTGTGTTGAGGCCCTTCACGTTTATCGAGGTGCATTTAAGGTAAGTGGCATTTCACTTGGTGGTGTGATTTGTCTGCCGTTCGTGGGGGATGTAGTGGGGTTGAGGTTAAAGGGGGTAGAGGTGGAGGGCGCGGGGCCAGTAGAGAGTGGAGAGGGTCGTCCGACAGCTCCGTGTCTGGTGCGGGTTTGGATGTAGTCAGGGGAGTGGTCTATGGAGTAGTAGCAGTGGAGGGTGTGTCGTATCCAGGGGGAGTCTCCGTGAGGCTCAGTTGGGAACCCCTGTGCATCTGTTCATGCCTTGCGTCCCTCTGGGCGTCCCTGTCCCTCCCCCTTTGTGGGAAGAAAAGAAAGAAAACATGCATATACGTTAGCAAACATCGTTTAAGTTTAAACTTGTAACCTTGCGATAGGATATTGTAAACTGAACGTTTGAACATGGCAAACATTATACTGAGGCATGCCGTATTCCCTGCGCCCCCCCACCCTGTATCACCCTGTTGGTTGGTTATTGGCTCTTTTCGGGCCGTAATCTTGTGCCTTCGGTGATTACGGTTTAGCCCCTTAGGTTAGCTGCCATGCCTCGGGAGCCCACCTTCCCCTTTCCCCCTAACGTTCGGCCTGGTTTCGTGTCTGGCAGGTTATAATGAGCTGAGTGCCAGTGTATGTGCGTCTCCGTCTGTCCCAGGGGAGTGTCATTTGTTGGAGTGTGGGCCTAGGGTGATGGGGTTTGATTCATTACAGGTTAACAGTTCAGTACTGTACATGGTTAGCAAGTAGTGAGGTTATATCTCTGCGTGCCCGCTGTCCCCCATGTTCGGTTTCCAAGACTATGTCATTCTTTTCACGGGTTCGGGGCATTGTGCCTATAGTGCTTGGGGCACGCAGATTGAATATCGGGTTGTACAGTAACATATTAAAGCAATCCTCAAATTTCACAATAACATAGGTGAACAGTTCCTAGATTTCAAAATAATATAGTGGCTATGTGGTGTGTTATTCCTGGTGTATGTTGGCTGTCTTTATGTGTGGGCTGCTCCCTGGAGCAGTGCGTGTGGCCTATGTGGTCTGCGTTGATAGCCGGGTCTTGTTGCCCCATTCGGTGTGATCAGGAGGGAGGTGTTCAGGTAGGGTAGCCCGCCCTGTGGTTTGACCGGGTTTGGGGGTTCTGAGGGGTGGTGCCGTGTGTTTTGCCTATGTTCTGTGTGGGGGGTGAGCAGGCTGCTGGAAATTGGTTGCATAGGCTTTGTTTCCGTGGTGATGTGTAAGAGGTGGTTAGGCTGCTCTCATGCCCTAGGGCTGTGGCAATGTGCCCACTGTGGTGCAAACATAAAACAACATAATTAGCTGGGCTATATATGATTATCTCAAGATGAGTTCATCAAGGCCTCAGTGGGGTGTAGGTTAGCCTCTGGTGGTTTGGGAGTTCATAAAGGGGGGTGTCGTTTCGGCTCTATGGTGAAGGCTGCAGGCGGTGGTGCCCGAGGAGTCGCCATCAGGGTGGATGGGCTGGGGCCATGCGGCTGCTTCTTGCGACTTGCCTTTATTGTTGGAGGTGTTCGTGCCTGGAGGGCCTGCGTCTCCTCTGTGGGGTGTATAGGTTGCTCCTCTCAGCTGGGTGCCGTTCCAGATGCCTGTGGTTGTCCAGTTCAAAGCTTGGGAGGCCGAGTTGAGCTGCAAACTCCTCTGCTTCAGCAACGTCATGTAGAGTGTATGTTCTGTCATCTTTGCGAACCATTAGTTTGAAAGGGTGTCCCCAGGCATATCTGATCCTTTGTTGTGTGAGGGCCTAAGTCAGTGGTCTGAGGGCCTTCCTCTTTATTAAGATGCTGGGGGCCAGGTCCTGGAACAGTTGGACAAGATGGCCTTCTGTGTGGATTGGGGTATCCCTTGCGGCCCCCATCAGTGCCTCCTTCACATGGAAGGTGGACTATCACGTCTCTGGGCTGGTTGTTCGTGGGCAATTGGGCTCTGAGGGCTCTATGGGCCCTGTCTATGATGAGTTCAGCCGGAGGTGCTTCGGGTAATACGCTGCTGAACGTTTCCCTGAGAGCGGCATTTAGTATATCGGGTGTGATTGTTTCAGGGAGCCCCCTGATTCTGACATTGTTCCTGCGTGACCTGTTATTCAGGTCTTTTTGCGCCCCTTCGAGGGCCAGCACCTGGCCGCAGAGTTCTTGGATGGCGGTGGTCGTGGAGATGTCGTCCATTTTGTATTCAACTGCTAGGGTGCGTCTGGTTAGGTCTTCTAGGCTTTCCCTGATGCGGGCCATGTGTTTGGCCAGTTCTGCCGCCATATTGGACTTAATGTCATGCAGGAGCCCTTTTAGATGCCCTCTGGCTACTGGGTTTAGGTTGTAGGGGTTCTTATCTGTGTCGCTGGCTTCAGAGTCTGTCTCCGATTCGTGCTGGTCGGCAGCACGTGTTAGGCCCTTGTCGGCGCGGTTGCGGAATATTGGAGCAACTGCCGCGTTGGTTTTTGTTTTCTTCCCCATTATGGGGGTCGGTGTGCTCTCTGAGGGATAGGAGGGTGAGCCCAGGGTTGATTTGGCGGGTGGTTCGTGCTAATATTAGCCTTTGTTATGACCGTGAGACGGAGCTCTCTCAGTGTGCTGCCATCCACACCAGAAGTCAGGTGCCGCCCCAGCACACCCTTTTTAAAGTTCAAATATGTGATGGTCAGTCAAAGTTGTTCTTATTGCTGAGAATCTCAAAAAAAATATGGGAAACTAGAGGTGCTCCAGCGATCAGCTACGTAATGGGAGATATTACTCAGGAATTGGAAGCCAGAGTTGTAGAGAAGAAGATTTAATGGTATATTCAGGTACAGTCTTTAGGTTGAGCGAGATGTGTGGTCGCACAGGGTGCCATGACAATAGGGGGCGCCCGGCGACCGATACAGCTAACAAGCTGAGAACATCATATTAAATAAAAAATTATTCCCTGGTGGTCAAATGACGCACACCAGCAGGAGGTGCAGTCAAATAATAATAACTGCTCCCTAGCGTTTCTGGCTCTCAGTTAGTCGGTCAGAGTGCAGCCTCAGGTCTAAGGCCGGCCCTGGGTATATTCCTGAAGGAAAGCGGGAAAGAAAAACTAGAAAACAAGACAGATATGGAAATGAGAAATATAGCAAGACAATAAATGAGATGGACGGAACAAACACAAATGAGAAAACAGAATACTGAGAAATCAGGAGAAGACTAGAAAAGCACAAGAAATTTTACACAGAAACTAGACTGTTAAAGTGCCATCTCAGGAGCAACCATGACAAGTAAAACATAACTGTCTTTCAGAGATCAGGGCCGATGCTACCATAAGGTGGCCCAAGTGGCCGCCTTAGGGCGCACCGGTCCTGGGGGTGCAATATCAGACACAGAAGGGGGCTGGGGTACGAAAGAGGCACATAAAGAGGCTGGGGGTAACAGACACACAAAGGGGCTTTGGGTAGTAAGAGACATACAAAGGGGAAGGAAGAAACACATAAGGGGGGTTGAAAGACACTAAAGGGGGAATAAAATACACTTAAGCGCAAAAGGGGTAAGACATTCAAAAGAGGGGATATGAAACACTAAAGAGGATAAGACATTCAAAAGGGGGGTTTCAAGACACAGAGGTGGAGACGCATTTTTATTTTAAGGGTGGAGGGGCGGCAAAATGCATTTTCACCTGTGTAGCTAAAAATCCTTGCACCGGCCCTGGATCTGAGATTAACTATTTGAGCAGATCTTAAAGAAAGATAGACAAAAAACTTTCTGTCTTTACCTTAACATAATGATAGGAAGCTCTATAGAGATGTGGCAATTGACTGTTTTGCAAACAGGCCCAGAATGGCTAATTGGCAACACAGACAAATCATAAAATATCTTCCCCCAACTGGCCAGGAGTTGGCTAACCCAGCCCATAACTAACAGCATATATTTGTAATTCAGCTAGCTACCTGCAGGAAATTGTGCATATTTTCATAACAATATGCCCTTTAATAAAGGCTATGAGAAGGAAAGAGAGTCACCAAACTGGTTAAGCAATTTTTTTAGCTTAATTTGAGCTTTCTCCCTTCCCTGCTTCTTATCTTATCGTTTGCCAGGGAAGGTGTCACCACGTTCCCTGGTGGACCGGTGGTACTCTAGAGGCAGCTGTTTGCACCTCTAAATTGCAAAAACTGTTCTATTGATTCCCAGCATTGTGTAGCATCAAAGCTTTGCTGTGGTAACCTGTGGCAATGCTCTGACAGGCCAGCACATGGAGAACCAGGCAGCGATGCAGACAGAGTCTACCAGGCTCCCTCTCCAGCTTTAAGAGCCTGCAATGGCCTGGGAAGGGATGGCTTTGATCTCCCCAATACACTGCGCTATACTGTGTTTTTCCAAATATAGGACACAGTTTTTTATAAAAAAAACGTGGGATTAACAACTGTCTCAACATATGCCAAATGTGTCCTATACACTGTGTGGACGCATTTGGCCTCTAGGATGCAGGCATTTGATAATTGCAAATGTTGAGATGGAAAACTGTGTCCTATATAAAAACTGTGTCCTATATAAACATATATAATATATCACTTTATCACTTCAGACAATTCTCATCCAATTCTTTATTTTAATCATGGCTATGTGGGTTAGATTCAACGAGCAGTCTGTTGAAAAGTGAGATGCACTATTAAGACATTAGTAAGGTGATACAAAAGCATTCAAATAACTTTTCATACATAGTAATTCTATCCCCTACCTTTAGACTTTGAGGTTGAGTAAGGCCCTCATCACATCTTATTCCTGTTTACATTAACATGTTTCCCACTCTTTATTTGTTCGATTAGTTTTGTATACCCAGGGTACAGTGCACCAGAAAATGTTGGCACTCTATAAATATTAAACTTAATACAATACTGGGAAGGGAACAAAACAGGAACTTACACACAAATTAGAACTAGGAAATGCAACTCAAAAGCTGGACTAGAGAAAGGGAATCTGCAGTAAACATTTTACATGGATCTGGAGTAGAAAAGATTGGAACACCAGTGGTACATACATAACTGCCAACGTTTTCTGCCTTCCGACATAAGTGGGCACGAAAGCAGGCGTACGTTAGGTGGGTCTGCTGCCATTGGGACGGACCTGCCACTAAAAAGGGTGGCCAGGCAGACTGACTGTCTCCCCACTCCAGCAGACCATGCGTAGAGCACGGCAGAAGTGCTCTGTGCATGGTCCTAGTGCCCAGTAATACAGTGCCCAAAATATTAATGATCCTAGTAAAGTATCTAAGACCTCAAGAAAGAGTAAATAAAGTCTTATTCTATAATAATATTTTATTAGATTTTACATTTTTCAGACAATGGTTTACATTTTTACTTCAGTTCTATATATATATATATATAAACATTTAAAAAGAGTAAACCAACAGACACTACAGACGTTGTATATATGTATATCAACTTTACAGACATAAAACAGTACAGACATAAATAAAAGTTCATACAAAATATTACATTTCGTGCTTAAGGATATGTCTGAATTGACCTTTAAGGGTTTCTCAAAATTGGCATCTCCCCGGAAGACCAGTATACATTCAAAAAGAATAAAACCTAGGAAAATTCAGAAATCATGCATTGTATATCATATAGTAGGATCAGAGTCTAGTGTCTTAATGCACTTGTTCCATAATGTATACCTTGCACTATTAAGACAAAAAATGGAGGCAATACCTCTTTCCATTTTCCATTGTCATTTGATCGATTCCAATATCTGTGGCCACGTGTCTATAGTTGTTTTTTTCCCAATTTCTAGTAATAGACAGGGTAAACAGTCTTGAGTATCCCTGGGACATAATGATAATGACTTGCATGTGTAAGCTTAGTAAATTGTTGCCATAGAAGAGACTTACACAACTCCATTCATGCAGCTCTAAGTCTGCCCTCAGTGGCTCACTGAAACACACATGCTTCTTTCAGAAAACCTAACTGACACACTCACATGCTCATTACAGACAAGCTCACTGACACACACATACAAGTTCACTCACTAGCAGCCGCACACACACAAGCTCACTCACTAGCAGCAACACACACACAAGCTCACTCACTAGTAGGCATACACACACACACACACACAAGCTCACTCACTAGCAGACACACACATACACAAGCTGACTCACTAGCAAACACACACAAGCTCACTCACTAGCAGGCACACACACACAAGCTTACTCACTAGAAGGCACACACACACACAAGCTCACTATCTACCAGACACACACACACAAGCTCACTCACTAGCAGGCACACATATACACACACACACACACACACAAGCTCACTCACTAGCAGACACAGGCACACAATCACTGCCATGGCTGAAGCTTACCTGGCACTGGTAGGTGAAGTTGCCATTTTGTGGCCTCCTCCTTCCAGCGACGCACGTGGGGGCAGGGCTTGTATACGGGAGATGGAGCTATACCCAGGGGCAGGGCTTATGTGCGAGGGCAGGGCCTGAGGCCTGCATTGCTGTAAATACAGCCTCATTGTGACCACACCAACCCCCAGCTCCTCCCTCTTTAATCCCCTCGCATTTACACAGCCTGGCACAGTCCGAGGGGAATACACTTAAATTACATTATTAGCATGATGATTTGGGCTGTCTGCCCAGCCCCAGGTGCCACGGCCCACCGGGAAATTTCCCGGTATCCTGGTGGGCCAGTCCGGCACTGCTGATTACTACAAAGGGAATGTTTGCATCAGTAGCCATTGAGCAGGCAGATAAGTAGAAGTGCATTATTCCACTGACTTTAGAGACTTTAACTATAGTATTTTCTCTGTCTCGACATACATATATTAATGGATCCAGCTGTGAGGTGTGTTATACAAGTGAACATTCTTCATGTTATTAAAATATTGGGTTTTTTTTAACAACTTTTTCTTTTTTTTTCGACAGTGCAGCTGTTTTATAAATTGAAACAGAGAAACACAGATTGTAACAACAGATAAAAATCTAGTTGTCCATCTCGTCTGCCCATTATTTTACTTATTTGTTTTTCTGGATATTGATATTACCCTTTGTTCCTTTTCAGTGGTTTACTTTTTTTCTGTCTGTTTCAAAAGGTTGCTAATATCTTGCCAGACATACTTTTATTTCCTCTTACCCATACTGACATATGTGCGGCATTTAAACTAAGATAGAGGTGCAGCTTTAACGGATCAGCTGGATCTCGTCTGTCATCATCATGTATTTTCTATAATCTACCATTAATATCTGACAACTAAGGTGGCATGTCAATTTTTGAATTCCAGGTTTGATAAAAAAAAATATTTGCACTTATAAGCATTTACAAAACTAATTGCATAGTGCTATTACTTTATGTTACTACATTTTATATTATAAATAGTAAATTAAATATTTGAAACAATCTGTATTTCTTTGAGCCATAGCGCCAAGCAATGGTCCTGATTTAAGATTTTTGGATAAACTTTTCAAATTTGTGCAAATTTGTTAAAATAAACTTT